GCTGGGAGGCCTCTGACTCTGGGCCTTTGGGAGGATGGGGGTGCTGTGCTCTTTGCAAATGGGCCACCACTTGATGAAATCCATCCAACAAATATTTATTGAACACCTACCCTAGGTGCTGGGGACTGAGTAGTGAACAAAACGGACCCAAAGTAAAGACAGCAGGCTTTGCTGGCCAGAGTTAGGGAGGCAGAACCTCGAATCATGGGGTCCATGTTGGGAAGAGCAGATCATGGTCCTGAGTGTGTGCTGAACACCCAGGACTCTCTCAGACCCTCCCTCCTTCACCAGCCCTGCCAGACGTCACTGTCCTCAGGGTGGACCTTGGTGGGACAGGTTCCACCCTGTGGGAGCAGCGCCCTCAGACAGCACATTCTTGCTGGGGTTGTGGCCACGCGTGTGGTGCTAAGTAGACGAGGGAGGCACAGAAACCCCCAGCTCCCACAGGGCCCCAGTCAGGCCGGCCTCATCCACAGTGCTCCATCCCCAGGCCTGTCCGTCCCCAGACTCAGATACCACCCTCGCAGGGCCACAGCTATGTGCCCACACCCGGGGGGTGGGGGCCAGCACGGGACGGCTCTCCAGGGAACATGTCTGTGAGCAAAGATCGATTCCTCCCAGAGGCTGGTGCTCCCTGCAGCAGAGATCCATCCCTGACCCACTGTGTCCTCACTCAGGGCCTGGTGAGGCCGAGCATCCCATACCAGAATGTTCTGGGACTCAGGTGTCAGCCTGTGCTATGGTCACAAAAACAGCAAAATGTTTGGCTGATGTAAGGAACCAAGGTTGTGCGATATTTTCAGCTGTAATAGTAGCTGAGGTCTCTCGCTGGGAGAACCCGAGGCCTCTGTCACCCACCTGGCCTTGCTGGGGCCTTGTAAGCTGGGTCGGCAGCTGTCCTGGAACCTGGAAATGATGTTCCTTCCGCCTGCAGCTCCTGCCAGGCCTGGGAGGCCACTGTCCTGTCCCAGGCTCAAAGGCCCAGCAGCGCTTTGCACCCCCAGCTCTACTGGCTCTGCTGACTCTCAGGGCAGGGCCCTGCCTCTGAACCCCACCCTCACCCCAGTCTGCCTCTTCTCTGACCGCCCCCAGTCCCCTGGGGCTAGGCCACCTCTGGGCCACCTTCCTCCCACTTTTCTACCCCAGCCCTGCTCTGAGTCCCTCTCTGAGCAGCTTCCATCCCAGACTTCCCCACTCACGAAGCTGCCCCTTGTCCCCCAGCTGGACACCGCACTGTGCCACAGCCCCACAGCTGGAGAGGCCGCACACCTGCCCGGCTCTCCCAGCCCCCCCTCACACCTACCCAGCTCTCAGCCCCCACCTCCACACCTGCCCGGCTCTCCCAACCCCCACCTCCACACCTGCCCAGCTCTCCCAAGCCCCCACCTCACACCTGCCCGGCTCTCAGCCCCCACCTCACACCTGCTCGGCTCTCCCAGCCCCCACCTCCACACCTGCCCGGCTCTCCCAGCCCCCCACCTCACACCTGCCTCAGCTCTCCCAGCCCCCACCTCCACCTGCCCAGCTCTCAGCCCTCACACCTGCTCGGCTCCCAGCCCCACCTGCTGCCAGCTCTCAACCCCTCCCTCACATTATCAGGCCTCACTCACTAGTTTGGCTCACACGTTCGCTCTCCCAGCCCCCCCACCTCACACCTGCCCGGCTCTCCCAGCCCCTCCACCTCACACCTAGATTTAACTCCACACATTCCCTCACAGCTGGGCCTGGAGAGCAGCCCTGCGTGTCATCACTGGGTTTTAGAGGCTGGGATGTTCTCTCATAAATGATGGCCTTAAAGGAGAAGATCTGAGGTCCTGGGGCCCTTGTCAGTTAGGCAAGTGGGCTCCACTGGGACAGGGTCCCCAGAAAGAAAGTGTCCCAAGTGCATGGTCACACCACGTGGAAAGACCACTGCAACCCATCAAGGTGCCCGGGGCTCGGGGTCCTGAAGAGGCACAGGGTTGGGGCATGCACCTCTAAGTGCATTCCTGGTGCCACCAGAAGCTCCATCACCACAGCTGATGCCCTCAGGGCACCTCTTGTGCTCTGGGCATGGAGCCAAGTACTCCCTGGGTTTTTCATTATTTAAATTGCACAAAACCAGGATATAGACAGAGAGATAGCTGGGCTCTGGGAACGGGGCTGAGGATGAACTGATGGGAGGTGTGTCCCTGATGAGGCCTTGGGCAGCTGTGGTCAGGGCTAGAAGAAGGAAGTGCATCCCAACAGCTGTGCGGACTGGGTTGGGCTCCAACAGCCACCCCTGGGGGAAGGGGCGAGTCACGCTGTGGATGGGATGTGAGCCCCCAGCCAGTCCCTCCTCCACAGGACCCAAGCAGACCCAGAGTTCCTGGATGGTGGTGGGGGGGGCCTCTCACGGGCAGCACCGTCTTCCCACTGACAGGGTGTATATGTGTTTAAGCATCGAAACAATAAATAAAGGAGATGTCCCAAATCTACGGATTCTATAGGAAAAGATCATATAAGACTTTGAAATAGGCAAGAGAAGATTTCTGACTGTCCTTGTACTGGAATGCCAGAGCCCCTGGGGATGACCTGACCCCAGGAGGGTGTGCCTTTGTCTCTGATTAGGCTGTTCTATGACTCCACGGAAAGAACAGTTAAACTCTGAGAAGGATGTGAGCAAAGTGCTCATTTCCTGGGCACAGGCGGACGCGATTCCTGCGCATGGGAATGCAAATGGTTTTTGTCAGGCAGGGAACGTGAATCTCTGTGGGTCAAGTCCTCATTTGCATTGGTTGAAAGTAATGAGTTAATAAAATCTTTGACATGTGTTCACTGTTGGTATGAGAGTCATGATTATACCCTCTGTTAAAATTTATCCTTGAACAGTTTGGTTAAAATCACAAAATTCCAACAGTTTTTTTATTTAGAGCAAAGATGATTCTGAAATTTATATGGAATTCTAGAGGGCCAAGAAGAGGCAGGTTACTCTTTAAGGCGAACAAAGTGGGAGAACGTGCTACTCCAGAAATGAAGCCTTTTTATAAAGCTAGAATAACTACTACAAAGTAGGGTGGAGGAGGGACTGATGATGAGACACAGCAGAAAGTCCACTCTTGTGAGAACAGGTGCGAGCTGGCAGAGGCGCTGTGGGAAGTGGAAAGACGGTCTTTTAAGCAAGGGTTGCTACAGATATAAGTATGGAAGATGGAACTATAACATGTTCAAAAGATGAGGCTTCCAAACTTTGGGATCAAAAGATTTCCTAAACAAGACAAAGTGAGTGCCAATCCTAAAGGGGAAGATAAACAAATTAGACTGTTTTACTTTAAAATGTAAGACCTTAGATCATAACACGATGCTGCTGAGCACGGGGAAAAGATAATCCACAGAACAGGTAACACACCTGCACTTTGGGGGCGGTTTTAGGATCAGCCTGCCCCTGCCTGCAGAGAAGCCTGTGTGGAGGGGGAGATCTGGCGAGGATGGAGAGTGAAGACACAGGTTGGAACACGCTTTCGAAAATTTGAAATAAAATCCAGAAGAATCAGCCAGAGGAGTTACGAGTAGCTGCTCTAGTACGGTGAGAGGGGATGGCAGGGAACTGCTGGTTTCTGTTACGAGCCTTTACTTAAGAAAAAAGCCGTCTTCCTCTACTGAGAGCATCGAATCCAACCAAGACAAATGGAAGGGTCGTGTGGCACTGGGCAGAGGCAGCCGCCTGTCCCTCCCACCTTCCCCGGACAGCGGCAGTGCTTCCTTCCTTCCCTGCACAGAAAAACAAGCTCCGCGTCATGCGAGGAAAGCACCCAGTTCTTACGAGCGCTGGCTTGGACCAGGTCCTTGGGTTGCTAAGGTGACATTGATATATGGCTTGGGACAGGGCGAAGAGGTGTAGGGGAGGTTGGAACAGGGACCACTTTGGAAAGGAAGGGGATCACCCAGGTTAGGCATGTTTGGGGGCACCCATGTGTACGCCGTGGCAAGGTCATATTTACTCCACAGTGGCTGGTTCTCCCCTCCTGGCTGTAGGTGTGGAGAGTGGCTGCTCCTCTCTGGGAGTTCCACACGCTGGCCCAGCCTGGAGGCCATCCCTGGAGACCAGAGGCCCCAGGAAGCAGGCAGAGGAAAGCTGCCCCAGGTGCACGGTCACACCACGTGGAAAGACCACTGCAACCCATCAAGGTGCCCGGGGCTCGGGGTCCTGAAGAGGCACAGGGCTGGGGCACGCACCTCTAAGACAGAGATCCGTTTCCCCTCAAATCACAGGACAGTCTCCTCTCCAAAGGACAAGGGGCATCGGGGCATCGGGTGCAATCAGTCCCTCGCAATCCCCAGACATTCTCGTCAGCTGAACCCCAGGCCTTTGAGAACATCCACTCTACTGGTGCCTACTACTGGTGCCCGAGTCTTTGGAGCTATTTGGATGCTCCAGGTATAGGTGCCAACATTAGACCTCATTGACCCACAAATCCGGCAGCTCATCTGGTCCAGCCCAAGTGCAATGGTTCCGCAGAGACGGGGACCTCAGGGCAGCCAGAGGCCATCGCACCCCCCGGGGCCTCCGGGTCTCGCCTCTCTCGATCCAGTGAGTTCAACTGGAGAATCACTGGATAATTCCCTCTGAGTCCCCCCATGAAGACGTGTGGGACTCCTGCTGCAAAACACAGCCCTGCCTGGCGTCAGGTATAACCCGGGACACTAAGAAGAGGTGTCCGTGAACCCTGCGGTGGGAATGGGCAGTGCCGATTTCTAGGTTTCTTGCTCTGGCCCAAGTTAAGAAAGGAAGTAGAGCTGGTGTTTGTGGAGAAGGGGAGGTGAGAGTCTGGCCTGCCCTGTAGGGGCCTGACTGTGGGTCTGAACCTTTTCTAGTGGTCTCATGACTCTAGGGTCCTCAAAACCAACAGGGGTGGCATGAGGAGCCTGTGCTGAGAATGTCATGGGGGGTGAAGCCAGAGCTGCCCAGGTGCTACCTGCGTGCTCCCCAAGCCCACACCTGTGCCCTCGCCCATGCCCGCCCCTGCCCGCCCACGTACCAGCCTGCGGATCTCCCGCTCACACTCCTTCTTGATGCGGGTGATCTCCTCCTGGTGTAGGTGGTACACACTGCGGATCTCCGCGGCCTTGATCTTGTCTGCCTGAATCACCAGCGTCAGCGCCTCCTCCACCTGCCTCTTGGCACCCTTGAGCTCGGTGATCTCCTGCTGCATCTTGACCTTCTCCACCTCGAACCCCTTCTTGGCCTCCTCCTTGGCCTCGGACAGCAGCACGGTCTTGACCTTGTCAGGGCCACCATCACGCAGGGCACTAAGCAGTGCCTGCAGCCGCTGGTTCTCGTTGTCCTTGATCTTGATGACCCTGAGCAGCTCAGCCTCATGCTGCCGCAGCAGCGTCTCACGCACGGCCTGTAGCTCCTTCATCTTCTCCTCGTGCAGCTTTGTCTTGAGCTCTGTGAGCAAGACTGCGGTCTTGTGCTGCTCATGCTCGCGCACCTGCCGCAGCTCCTGGTTTTTCTCGCGTTCCACTTTGCTGACCTGAAAGACAACAGCGAGACCGACTGTGGCAGGAGCTCCAGCCATGTACACTCACGCCTGAATGTGTATTTCGGAGGAGCTTCCATGATGCACACTCACACAACTGACTGTGCATTTGGGGAAGATTTTTTTGAAACTTGGGAGTTACCTTCCATTCTGGAATTACTCCTTAACAAACATGGCTACTAAAACCTGGAATCAAACCTGATTGGTGGAGGGCAGGAATGTGCACTCATAGCATCCACAGGAGAACCCTCAGAGGGGACACTCCAGCCTGGAACATGAGACTGCAGACACAGTCCACGGAAGTCTGTGCACCTAATCCAGGATCAGGTTATACAGGGGAGGCAAGACCGTGGTCACCTCCCAGGTGAATCCACCAGGAAAAGGGTGGGACTCTTCCCCTTGGACATGGCCCAGCGAGGAGCGGGCAGGGGCTGCCCTGAGTTGGGACGGGGCTGTACCCTGCAGTGTCCCCGGGCAGCTCCTGCTCCGTTCCCTGCATCCTCACCCACATGGCAGGAGCTGCGCTTGTGTCCCATGATGTTCTCGGCAAACCTGGAAACAAATCTGAGCCGCTGCGCCATCTGGGTGGTGTCTAAGGGGAACCCTGGGATGTTTGACTCTGGGCCATGTGTTTTCATCCAGGTGCTCAAACCCTTGTCCACGCTGTCAACCATCCACACACCGGCAGTGGGTGCTCAAAGTCCATTTATGGGATGAAAAAGTGGCTGAAATCCGGATTTGCCCTGGATCTCCGGCGGCACCCTGGCCCCATTCCCTGCCATTTCGGGACTCCGGTGCCCCTACCCAGCTGAGCGGTTAGGCCCGTGGTGGACTCCTGCCCACTTCATAGCGTTTGAGCCCCTGGGAGATTGCTCTTGTGACTCAGGGCTCCTGCTCATCTGGCTGCCCACGCTCCCCACAGCCCCCATCGTCTGGCCTCACAACTCTGGGGCGCACCCACAGCCCCCATCTTCTGGCCTGATGACTCTGGGGTACACCCACAGCCCCCATCTTCTGGCCTCACAACTTTGGGGTACACCCACAGCCTCCATCTTCTGGCCTGATGACTCTGGGGTGCACCCACAGCCCCGCCCTCTTCCCTCTGTTCCTTCCTGGGCCTCCAAGACCATTGCATTCTGCTGGCCTCCAAGCTCTCATCACTGGCCCAGCCCCCTCTCTGGAACTCTGGGGGCCAGGCCTTGGTGACTGGGAGGGTCCTGTGGCCTGCATGCAGGGGGCTAGCCTGTGAGGCTGCCTCTCCGGGACCCCCACTCTCTGACCCCTCTTGGGTCCAGCCAGTGGGTAGCCCCAACAGGACACAGGGAACATGACCGCAGAGGCACCATTAGCAGGCCGAGGAGGTCCGTCTGCGGCCCCCACTTCTGTTGGGAGGTGGCCCTGCTCCCCAGGCTGCATCTCTCATAACAGACGCCCCCCTTGTCCCTACAGTTGCAGGATGGAGTCAGCTGTGTCCCCACTGGCCCCGCCTCTTCCACCTCCCCTACCTACTCAGAGAAACAGCCCCTGGGTAACCTCTTGGCCATGCCCCGGGCATCATCTGCTTCCGGCCAGGACCTGAGGAATACAGCCACACAAGGGACATCTCACGTCTCATCTGTCCAAGCAGAACTCTCCACCACAGTCCTGGTCCCAGGAAATGGCCCCTCTCAGCCAGAGCCTCTGCTCTTGGCTCCCATCCTTCCTGACGTCCCACTCCCAACCGTCGGCAAACCTGTCAGCTCCTGCTGTGGGTACCCCCAAGCCTGCCACCTACTCTCCTGCCCAGGGCCATGTCCTCTTCCAACCCACCTCCCCTCACTGTGCCACAATCCCACAGAAGAGGGGTCCCTTGGAACATAAAGCTCAACGCTTCAGCCCCCTTGGGACCCTCAGGCGCACTTAGAATATAAGCAAGGTCCTTGCAGGAGCCACAGGACCTCATACCCCATGGAAAGGGCACCACAGAGAATGAAACGCAGGTTCCAGCCCCCACGCCCATGCCCACACCCTCTCCCACGCCCTCACCCACATCCATACCCTCACCCACATCCACAGCCTCACCCATGCTCTAACCCATGCCCACACCCTTACCCAAGCCCATGCCCTTAACCCCGCCCTCACCCACATCCACACCCTCACCCACGCCCTGAACTTGGCATTTTGTTTTCTTGGCAACTCTGAACTTGGCATTTTGTTTTCTTCACCCATAGCTGTAGGAATTCTGATCCCACAAAACCTGGACCCCCGACTCCTCCCCAGCCGGAAGCTCTCCTGCAGCCTGTGGCGTGGCCTCTGAAGGTTCCTGGTGTCATCTACCTCCTGGCCCAGCACAGTCCGTCCCCACACTAGGGCTTCTGTCCCTGCCTTCCCAGGCACGCCGATTTTGTTACTTTTTTTCACTTTCTGCACAGCGGTGATCACTCCGTAAAAGTGCTTATTTCTCTCTTTGTGACTGTCTTGTCTCCCTCCCTTCCGGAGGCTTTCTGGGGTTGCTGGGGGAGGGGTTGCTGGGGGACAGGTGGCTGCTTTTTCCCCATCAGGACACGTGGCACTGACTCACTCTGCTGCTACCTGGCTGGCAGTCCTCGTGTCCTGCAGGGCTCAACCCTGAGCCTTCCTTTTGGTCCGCCCAGACCCCACAGTACAGAGAAATCCCAGCCACCACGCTCTCTCCAAACCTTGCTCGAGGCCCAGAGATTCCACAACTGCACACGGGGCCCAGCGCGCATCGTTGGTCCAGCCATGTGAGTTCTGCTGACTCCCAAGAGGCCGGAGTGAGCAGACACGGTCCTTACTTCAGCTTCCACTTAAGGTGGGACCTCCTGCTTTTCCAGCTCACGCTGAGTTCAATGGTAAAAAAGCGAGATTTTCCAGGCCGTTTCTATACCACTTGGGGGTGGGGACTAGTGAGTCCTCTCGTCCCGTGCCGAATCCCCTTCACTCGGGCTCCGGAACGCACGTGGTGTGTAGGGGAAGGAGGCTGGGGAGGCTGTTCTGCTCACCGTGCTTGTGGGGCTACGGCTTGGGGACAGCAGGTCCTGTGCGAGGCATGGCGGAGCCAGAACTGAGGCCCACACTGTGCCCAGAGCCCAGCCTGCCCCTCCTCCAACCAGGCAATAATTTCACCTTCATGAAAACTTGAATGGGAATCAGTAAAGAAATTATGCAGCACGTGCCACAGAGATGGGGTCAATGGTGCCGAGTCTGGTCTCAAACTCCTGGGCTCAGGTGATCTGCCTGCCTCCACCTCCCAAAGTGCTGGGATTACAGGCGTGAGCCACCCTACCAGCCCCTTATATCATTTTATTGATGTCCTTTAGTTCCTTTTGAAACAGCCCATCATAGCTTCCATCTGTTTTGGAGCATTTGCCCGGTATGGTTTCATTGTCTGCAGGAACGTTTTTCTACTTCTTATTTCTTTTTGTTATAGTAACTTGATGAGATTTATTTTCCTGTTGTTCACTTCTGTTATTTCAGTCTTCCTGAATTTCCCTGAAGTATCTAACTGGGTTCTGTGTCATGTAATCACTTGTAATTCCACACAGTGAGCTCTGGTGTCTATTCTCACACCTCTCCTGGGATCCACAGGTGGGCCAGATGTCAGTGAGTTGTGGCCATCTCCCCCTGTCCCCCAGGTGAGCTGCAGTCATCTCCCCGGCATCCCCCAGGAGCCATGGCACTGCTATTTGCTGCCATCTGAGTTAACAACCACAGGCAACCAGAGACTGGTGAATCTGCCCAGGGGGTTGGGGACAGGCCTAAAGCAGGAGACGCCTTGTGGGGTGAAAGGGATCTCTGGGCAGAGGCACAGAGTAGGGGCAACTGGGTGCTGGGCTGTTCTTCATCTCTTACTCCACAGGGGATTGTAACATAGGGCCAGGGTAGAGAGTCACTGTTTAAATAGAGCGCCTAGAGTCTGAACCATTGACATCTGAGGCTCCACCCTTAGAAGTCTAAGGGGTTAGGGAGAGCTGGCGTGGAGCTGCGAGGTCCCAGGGGACGCAGGGGAGACCCACGAGGCCTGCTGATTGCTCAAGCCTCACTCATCCTGCTCCCCTCACCCTACTCACGTGCAGACCACACACATGCACGCACAGGCACACAGGCACACACCACACACATATACACACGTGCACATACACATGCATGCACACACCACACATATGCACACCACACATATGCAAGCACCACAGACCACACACATGCACGCACCACACACCACCCACATGCACACACCACATACCACACACCTCACACCACACACATGCACACACACCTCACACCACCCACATGCACACACACCTCACACCACCCACATGCACACACCACACACCTCACACATGCACGCACCACACACCACCCACATGCACACACCACACACCTCACACCACACACATGCACACACACCACACACCACACACATGCACACACCAGACACCACACACCACACACCACACACATGCACACACCATACACCACACACATGCACACACCAGACACCACACACCATGCACCACACACATGCACACACCACGCACCACACACATGCACACACAGGCACAGAGGCACACACCACACACATGCCCCACGCATGTACACACATGTGCACACACACAGTCACACACATGCCTACACACACGTGCACACACATGCACACACTTGTGCACACACATGCACACAAAACACACATGCCCCCTCCACATGCATGCACAGACACACACGCACACATACATGCACAGGCAGAGATGCATGCACACACACCTAATGGGGCTTGGAAACCTTGCGATTTAGGCCATCAAGGGCTCTGACATGTGTGAATGAGGCATTTAACTAAAGTCATTTCTGAAACATCGACTAAACCTACTTCTGAAAGAGTCGAGGATGACGTCTCCTTCCTCTCACGCCTGCCCAGATTGGGTCACATCTTGTGAGCCCCAATGTGCTTTTCCACCAGTTCAAAACAAGCACCACCCTGATCTATGGGACACCAGGTG